ATGACTTCTAAATGCAAGCACCTAAATCACCTTTTAAGAGCTACAAGTCAAAGGGAATTTGTTCGATTGCTCTCAAATTTTGACAGTAGCTAGTTTTACATATAAACAACGAAATCGTGTCTCCGAATTTTTTATTTCTAAATACTTTTTTTTCAAGAGCGATTTTTGTACGATCATTCCACATTTTTTTAATCCTATTTCAAATATGTTCTACAACTTTTCACTGAAATTGAATATGGCAAATCGCAGACACGTTTTTTTAGCGCTTTGGCCCCGGAAACGGAGGAACACATTAACTAAGCGAAAAACGAAATTCGCTTTGACATGTAACGTTCATGTAACGGTAACCTTAAAGGCGCCTTGTATGACTTACAAGGAGTGGTTTCAGTGCCCTTTCCCCGGAAATTAACTTTTACTCTGTGAGAAAAAAAGTGAAGAAATTCTTACGTACACGGCAAACGCGAAACAGGTTACTTTCACGTAGAAACGGCACAGTACAACCGGCAACCGTGAAAAAATGGCGGGAAAACAATGTCACGTGGCGGGCTAGGACAAAACACTGACCCCCTACTGACCCCCCCTTACTGACCCCCTCTTACATTCACTGGAAATCATGAATTGAAGCTAACGATAACAACCTAACGATACAAAATTACGATATAATGATACACTCACCTCTTAAATTCCAAAATGGCGGAAGATGGTCGATCTGCCACGAATCTGCCATAGTCCAAACTCGTTTTACCACAAGTGTTAGTTCTCCTTTGCTCATAAACGAGTGGCAAGTGGGAACTGCGTTCCACCAGAAAGAAGAATAAACAAAAAGAAATGAAACCCTTATCGGAAAACCGGAAAGGTCCAAGAGTTCAAAAGTCCCAAAGGAAAGGTCCAAAAGTTTCCAGTTCCAGGTCCCGCCGCCCATTCACGCCCATTCACGCCCATTCACGCCCATTCGCCGCTCGCACGTGTTGACGAACATGGCAGGTTTGTCTGGTACGTAGTACTACGTACTAGTATTGGTTGTTTATCAATTTTACTCCTTTTGCTATAAACTCGTTCTTATTTTTCCGCATCCTTTGGTTACTTAATGCATTGTCGTTGAATTCTCTGTAGATGATTCCGATTTGGAATACAATATTAAAGAGAGGTATGTCGATCAATATTTGACAGATTTGATTGCTCAGCTAAGAAATTTTACTTTGTACATTACTAGATATTAACACTTCTTCTGAGTTAGGAGAACTAACAATTGTGGTAAAACGAGTTTGGGCGATGGCAGACTATTGGCATCAAACAGATCGACCATCTCCCGCCATTTTGGAATTTAAGAGGTGAGTGTATTGTTATATCGTAATTTTGTATCGTTAGGTTGTTATCGTTAGCTTCAATTCATGATTTCCAGTGAATTTAAGAGGGGGTCAGTAGGAGTCAGTGTTTTGTCCAAGCCCTCACATGGTCACCCTTCCCGTGGGAAAAATTAACGCCCG